TCTGCTTGTAATGAGCACAGCAGCTACACTACTGGCATTGCATCCGCTGCAACGTCGCTGTCGCACTAACACGTTAGTCAAGAATTGCCAGTTAGACTGGCAGTAGAGACGTATTTACTTAGTAATATACGGTCACTCTGCATTGCGAGTAACTTGAATTAATAATTTGGACGAACGCTTAGTTTTCATGCAACAGCACATCTGAAGTAAACGCACTCGGTGGGTTATGCACTTTGATAACAGCAGCCTTCTTTCAGCGTTGTCAGATGGTATATTTCTATACCAGATTTCACAAATCTGGTATTTTCAGGTGTTAGGTAGGAATATTTCAGATCTGGTATATTGGTACATTTGCCTAAATCTGGTATATTTCGTGAATTTTGAGCTAGGCAATCTGGTATTCTCGCCGAGAAAAAACTTGGCAACACAGTCAACACTGCCTTCTTTAGCTGTGGCACAAGTTTGCCCGAAGCCCATCGGCCCCTTCTGCCCCGGAGCCCGTTACACCTTCTTGGTCCTTTTCGAGACCGTACCGATGTGGCACGCATTACTTGGGATGCGAATTTCAAAGAGTGGAGTGTTTCATTCATTGACGGGTGCATGTTGACCATCATCACCGTCTTCCAGTTTCCGCCCTGAGACGCCTCCAGCAGGTGTCAACTTTGAGTTCCGATACGGCACGTGACTTGGCTGTGAATTCATACATTCATAGCATTAGATATACAGGATAATTCATGTATATACAATATACATGTCACAGCCCAGAGCTGCAACAAGCTAACTTAGTTGAACCTATACAGTTCGCTAATGTCAGGAACGAACGCTTACAGCTCCAGGCCTGGGCAATATGTAAATGAATTTCAGGTAACTGCGTTTCACTTGTCCAACCTACAATGGTGTTGTTTCAATCCAACCTACAACACTTATCCAACCTCCATGTAACTCTCCTAGTCAGCGTCTGTTGTATGAAGTGCAGTGGATCTTCAGTGGGTGGTGCGAGGATTTTTAAGAGTTTCTCCAGCACAGCATCCGAGACGAAGTTCCTTGTATTTTCAATATCTTCTTGCGTAAGTAAAAGAATCGACGACAGGTCACATCAGGCCTACTCTTCAGCGCCACCACTATGTTATGTTATTAAATTTTGAATTGATATAGTCAAGCTTCCACATTTCTTTTGTTTCTCTGCTAAGTTTCCTGAGCACGCGCTCCCTGTCGAGTGGGTACAATCCTGTGGCTTGAAAGCCCATGCTCATATTGTGCTTGACTTCATTGTTGATCGAGTGCAAGAGGTTTGAGAGGAGGCGTGGAAACCAGTCTTTTGGGAGTGTTGCAATGTTCTTGCCAAAAGTTTGCTTCCAATTTGTAAGGGTCTCGCGCCATTTCCTTTTCAAAAGCGCATAGAAAACCACATCCAGTGGCTGCATAAGATGCGTTGCGTTGGCTGGCAAAAAGACGAAGCTTATGTTGTTTGCATTGCAAAGTTGAAATATGACCTGGTGCACATGAGAGTAGAGGTTATCTCCAATCAACACTTGGTAACCTTCCAAATTATTACAGAAAAGCAGAAGAATTGGGCAGCAGAAGGGCACTACGAGAAGTTGTTCAGTGGCAAATGGCAATGGATTAAAATCACCAAGTCACACTTAGAATGGTTTATTAACTCTATTTTGTCAAAATCGTAATCGCACAAACAGGATAAATAGTTTATTGGATATCACTTTGTTAAAATCGTAATTCCGTAAATTAAAAGTTTATTATGCCCACTTGATGACACTTTAAAAGCACTTTACTATACGAGACGATCAACTGTGTATTGCACGGTATTATAGAACATTAATCAGGAAAAACAGTAAATCACATGGCTAAACGACAGCAGGACACACTGGTTATAGTCATCACTGCTCGACTAGTAAGCAAATACTAGTCACAGACATCAGCTACTAGTCCACCTTCGTAGCACAGGGCTGACTGCTCAGGGTTACGGACAGCTAACGACTGACTATATATAACAAGACTGCAGCGAATGCTGATCTCGGCTAACTACGTAACGTTCAGTAGCTTACAGGTTCCTCTGTCGTGTGTATAACACGATTACTTGACGCGTGCGTATCTCTAACATTTTTGTGAACGATAACAATGGTTTAGCAGATATCAAATTAAAAACCTACCTAGCGAATAATTGAAAGCGCAAGTATTTTTGGGAATAACAGTTCCCTGTCGTTCGCACTCTCCTCTACCTGATGAAACTGAATCCAAACTCCTATGATTGTACAAAGCTGTCTCTTCAAATTAGAAACCGCAAAATTGAATTCCTATCTAACGGCTATAAAGGCATTTTATTTTAATATGACTTGCTGACAAGAGAAATAAATTCGAGACCGACATGATGTTCGTAAGCCGGAAACAGCTTCACGCTTCGCCGTTGTCGTCCGTATCTTACGTTCTATTTACTTACGTTCTATTTTCTTCTCTATGATTGGTGGATTTTGCCTGAAAGGCTGTCAATGATTGGCTGATGAACTTACGATCTCTTAACTTTTTTTGAAAGTATAGGCCCAGATTGCGAGTTCATCTCTGTCGGGATGGTCTGACAAGTCTGGTCCATCCGAGAAACGATGAACTCTTCGACGTTGTGAAGAGCAGGAGAAATGTTAACAAAGACTAAAGTCTTAGCGTTGCCTCCTAGGCTGTCTTGCAGCAGCATCGTCAACTTGCTATTCCTGTAAGGCATAAATGACGCTTCAGACGAGAGTGCAGCGATGACGTCAACGAGGGCAGACGAGCTCTTATTGATGGAGATTGCTTCCTTGAGCGTCTCGGCGGCCGCGCCGCTCGCGTGCGTACGCTCGCTACCGCGACAGCGGCCATACTTTCAATTCGCTAGTGAACGTAAGTACTTACGCTCTATTTTCTTGTCTATTATTGGTGGATTTTGCTCGAAAGGCCGTCAATGATTGTCTGATGAACTTACGATTACGAACTTTTTTTTTGAAAGTATGTGCCCAGGTCCACCAGCGTCAGCTTACCACGCAGCATTGAGCCATTCTGCGTTGACGTGACAGTCATGGTGATGACGATGAGAAGATGTGACCTCGATGACTCAGCATTCTTGTTGGTCGAGGAAGTGTGCCGGCTGCTTAGGCCCTCAAAAACTTCATGAAGATGCTGAGCCTAGTTCACGTGGCGCACGAGGGCGCTCGCTTCCTCGCTTGTCCCGCTTCACTTCCAGTTTTCCGGGCTCTATGTGTGAGTTGCCCCTGAGGAGGTCGATGAGCTTGTAGAGCTCAGGCATGTAGCAGTGGATCTGAACCTCTTGTCGCGCAAGCACTTCTTCTGCCAACTCGAACAGGCGATTGCAGGCCTTCGGGGCGATTCCAGGAGATCCCGCCTCGCCGAACATCGTCCTTCAGCGCGATGCAAACGGTCAGTGTCGTGCCAGGTCTTGGGCAGGAAGTCGACATCTAGTAAGTGCGAGCGACAAATGGGAAGAAACTCGTCAACCTTGTTTCAGCGAACGGAAGTTGAGGCTGGCGAACGATAACCGGCGACACGGCTATATAGATGCAGCTATGGAAAAATATGAATGCAGACTTGAAATGCCTAGCACCATATCGAACCCGGTGGAAGTCTAGTAGCTATTTTAAACTTTTGTCAGTCTTGAAAACATCCGGTCAAATGAGAAGATTTTAGATCTTCTGTGAACAAGTTACGAAAAGTAAAAGAATCTGCGACAGGTCACATGAGGCCTACTCTTCAGTGCCACCACTATGTTAGGTTATTAAATTTTGAATTGATATAGTAGTCGAGCTTCCAGATTTCTTTTAACCTGAATTTGAAGACTAAGGCCAACTTCAGCTTTCCTCCAGAGTCCCGACAGCACAGCTTACCAGAAGTTTGATCCTGCTTTCCTACCAGTACCACCGACGCTACGAGTCACCGAGCATCTTTGCGGTTGTTAACTTCGAATTTATTGATGCGATGGATTATAATCTGGCGATCTTCTGCAAATACTAGGTGTAGTTTAGTTAGTCTACTTCAGGCTAAGTAGTGCTTGAAGTATCCGCCATCCTGCGACGCGTAGTTTGACTCCTTCTCAATTTCGTTGACGAGATTGGATTCGAGCTACGTAGATAGGATTCTTTGCAAGTGCTGCAATCAGAATAATTGTGGTTTCAACTACGAATGCTTCAAAGCGTTGGGTATGTGTTGAAAACCTAGTTGAAAGCTGTATAAAGCAGTCAGTGTAAGCCTAGTTAGTGTATAGCAGGGTCGGCGTCCGAGATAAGGTAACGCAACGTCGCTCACTTGCAAGACTGTGTCTATTGCGTAAGACTATAGATATTGGCACCTATAGTCACAGCATCTTATCTCTTAGCTAAAGTGCTTTCAGCCGCGGGTCTACAACGTACAACATTGAAAGGCACGTCCCAATTCCGGGGTGAATTTATGTAATCCAGGCGACCTAAAACGTAATCTACAAAATGATGAAAATGGCCTCATCATCTCGGTGAAAATTTGGTCGACGGTACCATCGGGCACCACCGGAACAGCCCACAGGCGTAATTTTAACCTTATTCTTACTGAGCTCGTCTCGTCTCTCATATCGTGCGCACGTAGTTCAACATGTACATCGAAAGGAGCTCGTATTGTAGAGTGAGTGACTAAGTGCTTGTCGGTAGTCTACAATGGCGGAACTTCATTCACGAGAAGTTGTAAGCTGCGATAACGAGGCTACTCATTGATAGGGTACGAGACTTTTCCCTCAATTTCCGACGTGTCGCGGTCATAGACATTACCACCAGCTGGCTAATTCAGTATTGAGAAGAAGCGATCTCGCTGGCATCTACAATGCTCCACATACAGTGCGAGCCTCAAGGTACAATATCGGCTGCCATCTAGATATCGTAAAGAATTAAGGCTTACTTAACATTATCCAGTCCAAGGATAAAAAATAGAACGAACAGAATTTAGAAGGGCTGGTTATTGCGTATTGTTCTTTGTCATTCTAGTTTACCATCATCAAGGTCTTCGTCGCTACCGCCAAGTGATGTCTGCAGCAGTTGAGTTACCTTAGACTCGCGGTACGGCACGTGACTATGCTGTAAATTACGACCATAACATTACATCTACAGGATAATTAAACTATACACAATATACATGCATGCACCGCAAAATTTATTCAGGGCATTATCCAAATAAAATGCGACTATGGCCATAATGTATATCATTATGACCCGGCTTGGTTCGACAAACGGACGTTTTACTTCTACGCGTCCGCACTCAACTCGAGCTGTGAGTAAGCAAGTTTGTCAGAATTTAAACATTATGACCAATTCGTTTTGCGAACGGAGCAAAAGCACTTGACTTACTTTCTTCTCAATGGCCATAGAGTCGCGGCTGAGGCTGCTGGTTATCTTGTTTGCTTGTTGTGAAAATCAGCCGCTCCTTCCCGCTCAGACCAAGATTGTCATCTGTTAGATGGGTTGAATTATTGCGCAGCATGACAATGTTACCGGACAGATATACGCCCAGAAAAGTAAGCGAATGTACAGATGGCCGTTCTAACCCGAACGAGATTTGTGTCTCGGGATTCTCATTTAGCCATTAAAATTCATGCGTCAGGCACAGCCCATTCATCTATTGAACGAAGATTACACGCTCGCCGGGCCGCCTGCCACTATTATAACTAGATTAATAAATCAATTGGATAGAATTTGGATTAAGAAATTAAGTTAGGGTAACGCCTTAATTATAGTTAAACCAAGAGGTAGAGTACGTCTTTGACAGCCTACGAAGCAGTCTGGCACGCGTCTCGTGTTCGCCAGGAATTTGCCAGGGAATTTCTAATTATAGAATCTAGGGTTTTAATTTAAGCTTGAACGAACACGATAGTTTTAAAACTAATTATATAAATCTTAGAATATTGAATAAAAATATTAGATTATTAGTGTTGACTGAGGATTATCAGGTCGTCTTAAAAAGCAATAGGAAGCCGTTGTGGGACTTTTCGTGAGGCGAGTTCAAGTGATCATATATGGTAACTTGGTCGTGCAAGGGTTAAGAACCCCCACCACACCTCCTGCTCATATGGTAATGCCAAGTCGACGTCGTCCCTCGTCAGGTTCTCCTCGTCTTCTTGAGCGTTGGCCGTCGCGGCCTCGACCTGCGTGGTTGCATCCGCCATGGTGACGGCGGCCTCCTCCACTGCCTCTGCCTGGGCCGCAGCCTGACCCGCCTAAAAATACAACAATAAATGAGAGTTTTAAGCACCGGATCTGGAGAAGAGTATCCAAGAATTTTCGAACAACATGCAATTCAACGAGACCTAAGATGGTCACACATAGCGGTAATAACAGCAAAAGGTAGGCGACAGATGAGGGTGTTGTGATTGAATCTAAAACTGACCTTAGAAGTCGGGCTTGTTCCCCTGTATGGCCTATTGCACTCTGGGCACATAAATTTCGGAAGCTGGAAAAGAAAGAGAAGGAGTGAAAATTAAGATCAAGTAAATAAAATAGAGCAACAAAATTGAAGCAAGTTTTTTATAACTCGGTTGATATAACAGTCACTGGTTACCTCGAGCATGTTGCTGTTGGCGCCGACTGCAGGCCTTGCAGCGTTGATGCTCATTAACGGTACAAGTTCTTGCCTGCTGCTCCCTGCCTCCGGTCCATCGCTGCCGACGAATCGCTGGCATGTGCAGCATCTTTTTCTTCGTTCCAGATGCCGTTTTACGAGGCATCTGGTAAGAAAGAACAGGAGTAAAAATCATTTTCTAATTCAGTAAAGTGCTGCTCAGCGTTTTCCGAGTTCTAAGTCTTTGCGAGGCGTGCGTCCATTGGCTTGGCCAAGTTTTGCATGAACGTAGCAGTCTTTGCAGGATTAGAAGGAACAGAACTACTGCTAGCCGAGTTTTGTACGAGAGAAGCAGTCGGTGGAGGGTTGCCAGAAAGAGGTACAGTTTTAGCGCCAGAATTCTCTGGAAGTCGGCCTCTCTTCCTGCGAATTGGCGTCAGTTCTTGAGTGTTGTTACTAGAGTGGGCCGGTGCTATATGACAGTTAGTTGCCCAAGTAGGCTCGACCCCATCATGTAGAAACTTTATCATCAGCTCTCTTATGCGCTCTCCTTTGTCTTCATTTTGGTCACAAGATGAAGCCAATTTATTAGCGCTGACCATTTCAGGCCTCGTAGGGCAGCTTGTGCCTTGTGGCACTCATGAATCGCGGTCCTACTGAACACCCGCAATAATCGGTCTAAAAAATGTAATCATTTGAACACCATTAGCATGAATACCTCTCATACCAGAGCAGGTTTGTGGCAAACTCATTGCATTCAAGCTCTGAGTTGTTTCATCGCTCAAGAATCGAGGTGATAGGCTCCAAGTTCCACTGTCTGTAGACCAGTTTTTTTTTTGTAAACTGAATAATGACTGAGATCGGCAGTCGGTGGGGGATTTTGAGACAGAGAACTAGTGCTAGCCAAGTTCTTCATGATAGTAGTTGTCAAACGGGCCTTAAGGAGAGTTACGCAAACCCTTCCGACCAAGCGCCTGTACATTAATGCTCTCCTGACAACCGAGTAAAGTTCTCATGTGCGCTATATAGACGTGTTGCCAGTGTTGCTGCAGCGGGCCTTGTGCGCTATATGACGTGTTGCCAGTGTTGCTGTAGCGGGCCTTGTGCGCTATATAGACGTGTTGCCAGTGTTGCTGTAGCGGGCCTTGTGCGCTATATAGACGTGTTGCCAGTGTTGCTGTAGCGGGCCTTGTGCGCTATATATAGACGCGTTGCCAGTGTTGCTGTAGCGGGCCTTGTGCACTTTGAACTCTATTAGTATTCTTCAGCCGCCGCTCTTCTCTAACAAAGACTGAAGAGAAAAAGTATGCGTAGGTAGTTTTCTCGGGAGCTGCTGATAGCGAGTAGGTAGTCTACTTTTGCCTGACTACCACACTTGGTAATGGCTATAAATATCAGTATTTAATGTCTGAATAGTGTACCTACATGCATTGATTCTCCTGGAAATTTAAATAAACCTTGTAGCCGTTGGGAATTCGCTGATCTATTTTAATTAATCCTCGTACGTTAGGGCAGAGACCCAGTGACTTCGCTGTATGGAGCGAAGTTCTCCCGCTACATTGCCGCTGGGCACTACACGACATCCCTACTAAAATAGCGTAGCTAATCTTACTAAACGTGCATTAATACCATAGATTCGTATTTTTACTCCTACACAGAGGAGCCTAATATCTCTAGTAAATGTAAGCGTTGTTAGTTCTAAATTGCATCTTCCTACCACGGCGCGATCTCTTACAACTTACCTCAACAGTGCCTTCGACCTGGCGGTTATCGTTATTGGACTCGTCACAATTATCATCATTTGATTCTACGATAGTAATAACCTGTATTTTAGCCGCGTCGAGGCTTCCCCAGAGGCGGATTATTTCCGGTCGCCATTCATTCAGATATATGGGCAGAAGGGTAGGGTAGCAAAGTAGATCGTGTCCCGTGATCGATCTACACAGATGCAGTCAACCTTCTCGGGTAACTAGCAAAATCTGTGTCTTTCGTTGCTGACTCTTGAGTTCCTGGATACCCTGTGCCATCTCTTCGATATAATTGCTATTCGTCGAAATGGTATAATGGTACAAAACACAGTTTCCTGCTTCGGTATGTGTTCGTTGAACTAGCTTGTCGATTAGCATGTTCAATGCTGTCTGGAGCCCCATCCCAGTGAAAATTTACAGACGCGGCAGCTTCTGATTTGGGCTGGGGCGACTCTAAATTGTTTAGGGATTCTACTCGTTATACCCCAGAACTTGGTCACTTTATATGGCCTTGTATATAACTCCCGAAATTTACAATTGCCCCTGAAATGTCCAGGTGACTGAAAACGAGACATCCATATGAACGACATGTGCATCATTGCGTTAACCGCAAGTCGCGTCTTAAATCGCAGCCATTGACTCAACTGCCGAAAGTTGCCTTGCCAGTAAAACTACAATGGGTTTTTGAGGGTGAAACCCGCGGAATATCATATTTTCTATGATTAGAAGAAATTGATATTTTGATATATCTTGCCTGCGTTTTCACTAGAAAGTAAAAAAACAACTTCTACAGCCTTGTGCCCGATCAGCAGACTGTAAATTTGGCCAAAACTTGCGTCGTAAAGCAATGTATTTTCTCGATTCATTAACCATTGTGGGGGGGGGGGCGCTGAAGCCATCCAGAATATCCTATTTGCTGCTATCTTAATTTATCGAATCTCTATTGTGGCACAGCCTTATACCACGCTCAAGGCAATAACGTCAGGAATTGAGCTACGTTCTTCTTTTGGATATACACGAGGTTGAACTGGTCGACGTAATGTAACTAACATTTTGGTTCGTTCATTGACCTCCATTAGGCAGTAGTTTCCCTATCCCGCGTGACCCAGGCCAGTGTGTGGCATTAGGTTACCTTTGATATGTTGTAATTCCCTTGTTTTGATGAATGACTGCAGATGAATAATTGTTATTACTCAACTGATTGGTCACATAGCATGTACATTTAATCAAAATGTGCTGGATCACGTATGGAGATATGATGACAAAGGTATATCTCTCCTGGCGAAGATCTGAGATCTTCATACTGGTCAAGAAAGTAGTTACCCTAAAAGAGTCGTCGTTCATCTTAATTCACGCAAACATTATTTCATACTTGGAAATCCATTGACTATATCCAGTGTTCCCTGCTGTCGTTTCGCCTATGTGAATTATTGGTTGACCTAAATTTCGTGCTCTAACTGTGCAATACTGACGGTGAACGTAAAGAGTTTTTAGTGGGAACTTGAGCATTATGAACTATTTCAATTCTGCCCGATTACGATTATAACAAATGTGATGACAGATAAACTATTTTATCCCGTTTTTTGTAATTACAATGTTAACAAAAATTTGGTTTATTAGGCTATTATGATGGTCCGATCTTAATTTTTTTAATTCATTGCCACTGATCCGGCATGTCACTTATGCTGACAAGGAGAGTTATAGAAGGCATTTAAGGTTGAAGTAAGGATCATTTATTTTTTGTTAACACTCGTGGCTATAAAATTCACATGTAAAAAGCTTTCGCTTTTCATTTGGTGGAGGGTGACTGGACTCTAAACTGGAAGCCAGTTCCTTCACGCCGCTCGTCAGTCTCAACTTCTCTTGCCGATCGCCCCCTTCGGTTTTCTTGTACAACAATACAAGAGTGTATTCTGGTATCAGAAAACCAGCAGCAAAGTTAGTAACCATCAGTCAGTAAACCTGGGGGTAACTGCAACACATTTACCCCCAGGAGCATGACTGCCACTATCACAACACTGATGGCTTCCAGCCCCTCATGAAGTCTTTAAGAAAAATGGATGCTGATATTCCAATGAACAGCATTCAAGCCCCAACAAGTGAAAAAAACAAGAAAACACAAAACAAGAAAGAAAAACAAGAAAAGTTGCTATGAAATTAATGATTTTATTTCAGCCTCTGCCTGGTCTGCGTTCCATACAAAAAACACTTCCGTTGAAAATAAAACATCAAAGTAGCTTGAAAAACATCAGTTATTCGAGCACTGCCAGTGGCAGCACAGCTAGCCCTTACATTTAAAAAGAATTAAAACTAAAATATAAAATATTTTTAATATACAAAGGATTACAAACCACATTTACAAATACAAATTTAAAATTTTTTCCTTTTGTCCGAATCTCATTATAATGCTTGCGACGGACATGCCTACTTAGAGCAGGTATTTCTATGCAGAATGTCTATGCAATGTGCCTTTTCAGTTGAGGTTTTCTGACGCAAGAATATTTACAGTCAGGACACCGCAGAGGTTTTTCACCCGAGTGCCTGAACATAATGTGACTTGTTAAGTTAGTCTTCAAATTAGTAAAATACTTACATTCAGCACAGTTATATTTTCTCTTGCCTTTACATGTTCTCTTGCATTGGATACGAACAGGAGTAATGGCTTACTCACGACTGTTCTCGGCCCAAGACTGAAGTTAATCGCTTGAGACAGCTTTTATAGCTTCGCTATTTGATGTCACCAGGGGCGTGACTTGATAAACAGGAAAGGCTAATACAAGGAAATGCTTATGAACATATCGCATGTGGAGGATATTATCTTCAACAAGGAAGACATCAATCAGGAAATATCCAGGGACAAATGGTATCAACATTGTCACCTGACAGATAATTACAGCAATTAACAGGTTACTTCTTAGCAAACGCTATGTATGAAAAACTTCAACTTATTACTTAAGTTTTCTACTCAGAAACTAAATTTTGTAAGAAAATTGTTGAACATTGCAATGTAAAGAGAATTTTTTTAGAGATCAGCTTCGTCAGTAATATTAACAAAAACACAATGATAATATGAATGATAAGTTAAAATAGATATGCGAAATACAAATTAACAAAATTAGAATCATGAGAACAATGTTACCAAATATTAAAACCAGGAATGAAGTGTAATAAAACAAATAATCATACAAAATATGCATGCCAGCACCCCACACTCCTGATGCACTGATGCCCATGACAGCCTCACTGGGAACATCCTTCCAAGGAGCACATGGCTGACCAAACCCACTAACAAACTAGATTATAAGTTAATGACTGCAGGCACAGGAAAATGACTTTTGAAAATGGTAAAAATGTGGTCATAATATTTTTTCAATAAATATTGTCTTGGTGAATGCAGACTCAATACGAGGAATGATGCCTTAAATATTCTGAGGGTCTTGCCTCACAAAAATATTCTGAGGGTCTTGCCTCGCATTAATAATATCCTTCCTCTCTACCTATCCTTGGACAAGTGTCAGGAAAAATACTTAGGAATTTTGACATGAACATATCAAGGTCTTCAAAATTTAAAGAAAAAAATTTATTGCAGAGCTGCTGGCTTAAAGAAGACTTTCACTCAACAGAGAGTATTTTCATGAATATTATATGCTTGATATCAAAATTTCAACACAAGTCATTGATTGAGCAACAAAGAGATCCACAGATTCACTAATTTTATTCCTGATCTTCATACAAAGTTCACTCAAAATTATTATTTTCAATAAAACAACATAGGATATGCCCCTAACAAAATGAAGATTCTTATCCCGGCAAACACTCCCCACCTGTTTTTCTGTCACCCCTGCCATGGCTGAGGGTTGTTGGGGGGCGTGGGGAGCCTCATGAGCCTCACTTGGTGCTTCCCTCTTGCAGGGCACACACAGCGGGGCAGGAGGGACTGGCGGGTCCCAACAACCAGGGCTGGGGAGCTCACGGGCCTGCCAAGACAGATAAAAAATATTTCCGTTAATGAGAAAAAAATCTTTCTGGAAAATCTTGCTGTGTTTGGCACATATGATCATTAGTATAAAACATTGTTTTGCAAGATACATGCAAATATAAAATATGTCAAATTTTACATTTTTTTATTCAAAATTTTTTGCTTTTGACAAAAGATTATATCATAATCAAGTTTTCAGATGCCAGCTAACATGTGTACCTTTTCATCATAATTGAATGGTTCATCCTTTACACTTATAATCTCCATTGCATCCAACAGCTCCTCCTTGATGTTCTCAATTGGAACTTCAGGGGCTGAGGAGGCAGCCCCAGCATCCAAAACTGCAAAAAGGAAACAGTGAAGTAAGGTGAAAAATGTTCCTCAGGAAAATGTTTCCTCAACATAGGAAGCATTTAGTTATTTCCTAAATAGGTAAATGCAATTGATTTTTTTGTAATGGAATAATTGATTGTAATATAATGGAAATTGTTTGTAATGGAATAATTGTTTGCAATGGAATAATTGTTTGTAATGGAATAATTGTTCGAAATGGAAATTCTTGTCTGGAAATGTGTAAATTACAAAACTTTGGATTCAATTCCCCACCATGAACAGAGCAACATACAACCCTGCCAATAAACTATAAGTGCAGGATGGAGCAAAATGCCAGGCTCACCTTCACACTTCACACTGCCAGCATCAGCACACACTTGAGCGAGGCTTGGCATGGCACACCAGCCCCTCCCCACGGCAGCTGCAGGGAGTTGGCGCAGCAAGACCCGGCACTTGAATGCATTGCTTGCCATGATAGTATGTGATGATTGTAGATGTGTAATAACTGCTAAAAATGAAATCTTCAGGCTATGTGACACATTATTGAGAAAATCTGTATACGTATATAAATATATCTGCACAAAAAAATTCATTAAGCAGTTACACTTTTAAAACCACCCCAGGGAAATCCATTAGCTGACAAGTCCTTTGCGGCATAAGTTTAAATGGGTGAAGTTTGAACCCTTCTTGAAATGGTTGTCAAATGCTCTATTTTATAGAGGATAAGCAAATTTAAACTCAGTCATTCCTTAACAACAAGGAAAATTTTTTGTCCTGTACTTTTTGTAAGACGTATTGCATCAAAAATTTGTTTTCAACTGAATGAGGTTGCTTTTAATTAATTTACATGAAATGGCACAATTAAAAACAAGTGATAGGAATTATATTTTGGCTATCATAATTTCAATGCAAAAGAGATTCTATCTACAAATTTTGTTAAGCCATGCCCTAGTTTGCATATCATTAGTTATAGTAATAGCAGTTTCAGAGAATTGTCCTCTGGAGAATTGTCCTCTGGAGAATTGTCCTCTGGAGAATTGTCCTCTGGAGAATTGTCCTCTGGAGAATTGTCCTCTGGAGAATTAAAGTCGCGATTGAACCCCGCGTGGTACGCAAACGGCCAGGTGACAATCCTGTCACCAGCCTCTTGGATCGCCTGGAAAGGTTTATTTAAAGGTTTTTCAAAGGTTTATTTTAATATAAACTAGAAGATCTAATATAGAGACGAAATCGGCTCTAAAAAAGTTGGAATTCCTCGTTCAAGCATTCAGAATTGCCATCTGCCATTACTCACCCACAACAAAAATAAACAAATATCGCCACTCGACATATAGGCCCATGGCGTCTTCCCGATGATTCTTGTAGTTTTCGTGACTTGAATCGAGAAGAGATATATCTACAATTAATTTTAGGTACTCAAGCATCATATGCATACATAACCATTTTCTTCACACATGACCATAACTCAGCCACATTCATATATCCTATAAATTCAGTTACCGTGTTCCTTTATTTTCTACGGTAAAACTTTTTCTACTGGACTGAATAAATAACAATACCTACAAGTAATAGTGAGATTATTAAATCAACGACTAGGAGGATATTGAAATATTTAGAAATAGAACATAGCCTTTCGATTCATTTAGTATATAGAAAATTGCAACCTAGACTTCGAGGAAACCAAAATAATTTTACTAATAAATTACAATAATAATTAATAAAATAACGGCAAATAATTGTGACTAACCCATTCGCAAGAAGAACTAACCTTATAACACTGGATATTTTCGGCCTTCTGAATGGCTTCCGGTGATGCCAGCAGACATTTATGCCTCATGAAGGCTGGGCAGCCTTCCAATTCTCCATATACCTAACTTGAAAAAATTCAATCTTGGCTTCAAAAGTCTATCACCAACGTGAAGAAAAACATTTCATTGACCTGATATCAGCCAACATTCGTGATAACAAATATAACCTAACCTAACCTTCCAATTCTCCTAAATAGAAATCTGTTTTTCCCTTCAGCCAAGTCTCAAATGTGTACCCGTCTCTTGGCGCTATCGAATACCACTGTTTAGGCATGCCTGCATGTAGATAGGATGCACTGCAGAGAAGAAAGAAATCAAAAACACTGTCGTAACGTGATATTGACAAAAACGTTACACTGTTAGAAAAAACGGTGAAAAAATGGTCCCACTGGCGTTCTAGTGGCCGGTGGCCCCGTGAAAATAAACTGTTTCGCCGTTTTTATCAGATGTTTTACGGATTTCTAGTGTTAAATTAGACTAAAAACGGCGACACGGTGTTTCTTTTCACGTGCTGACCGGCCACTGAAACGCCGGTAATACCGTTAACGGTAATTTTTCTACCAGTGTAGAAATAAGGTAATTTTTAAAATATATCTCTCCATTCAATTAACCTGCTACAAGATCAATATAGACATTAATAATAGATTGCACGACTAACATAATCAATATTTAAAGTAAACTCTGATGACCTGTGAGTTAACAAAACTCCATTCTGTCAGGGGTAGTAACATTTGAAAAAAATACACTCTTTAGCTTCTGTAAGATATAATAACAATGGATATCGCTGTCACAAACACAGCTAGCGGACAAAAAAATTCGAATTACCTGTACAAATCCATGTCTTCGGTATGCCATGCGAAGCTCGACCCGTACGACCCAAAATACAGGTGCACTGTTAGAAAAATGACCGTTAACGGTATTACCGGCATTTCAGTGGCCGGTCGGCACGTGAAAAGAAACACCGTTCCACCGTTTTTATTCCAATTTAACACCAGAAATCCGTAAAACATATGATAAAAACGGCGAAACATTTTATTTTCACGGGTCGACCGGCCACTAGGATGCCGGTGGGACCGTTTTTTCAAACAGTGTACGGCCTATTGACGCCAGGAATAGTGGAGCCATAATTTTCTTCCAACAACTTCAACATCGAGGGGAATCTTGGAAAATTCCAAACCTGCGCACAATACAATAAGTATTCATTAAATGCATATCTTAAAATAAATTTCAATAAATAATAATGAATTTAAATTATCAATAATTACGCAAAATGTAAATAAAATACCAAGAACAACAATATACCTTCGTTTCTTTGCGCATAAGCGATCCATCAATACACTGTTAGAAAAATGACCGTTAACGGTATTACCGGCGTTTCAGTGGCCGGTCGGTACGTGAAAAGAAACACCGTTTCATCGTTTTTATTCCAATTTAACACCAGAAATCCGTAAAACGTCTGATAAAAACGGCGAAACAGTTTATTTTCACGGGGCGACCGGCCACTAGGATGCCGGTGGGACCGTTTTTTCACCGTTTTTTTCTAACAGTGTATCTGCCGCATACAGCACCTCGCGCTCAGTAATGTCCCGCCAGTAAATCTTCGTAACTGAGGTTTTTTGGACACGCATATACGCTGCGCGGTCCTGTTAAATTTTCGAATTCCTTCACGGACATGAAGTCCCTCTCTTCAATCGAATCTTGCAGATAGATACCAGGGCCTATACTTTCAAAAAAAGTTAAGACATCGTAAGTTCATCAGCCAATCATTGACGGCCTTTCAAGCAAAATCCACCAATCATAGACAAGAAAATAGAGCGTAAGTACTTACGTTCACTTAATCATAGACAAGAAAATAGAGCGTAAGTACTTACGTTCACTTAGCGAGTTTTGAAAGTATGGCCCCAGGATAAACTTCCCGTACCTTCTGTCGAAGTGGCTTGGTCATCAGCTGAGACTTCATAGACTCGAAGTCGTCTACAGTACACAGCTTTCCTTCCGGCAGACGAAGCTGTAAATGCCAAACAAAACTCTAGTATAATATAAAAATCGTTAAATTTTCTCTTGTCATCAATGTTTAATATAATCAAATTTTTATTTGGAAAAATTTAACCTTATTTTATTTCTTTACGTTAACTTCAGTATACTTTATTTTAAAAAATATGAACAATAAATGATGCGAAAATATTACAAAAAATTAAAAAATTATTTTAAAAAATTCGTCGAAAATATAAAAAATAAAATCAAATCTCTAATATGGAATATTCTAAAAGTACATAAAAAATACATCTACTATAATAATCCCTACATTATTTTACTTAATTCGGATATTGTTTTTTTTCACGATATTTCAATGCTTGCGCAAAAAGCGAATATAATAAACATTTTAAATATATATTACCTTCACAATGCCACACTTATTTTCATTTTTATTTTCAATAGTTTCTATATATGTTGAAAAATTACTAAATTCGCGCCAACTCGGTGTCAGAGTCGGCACAATTTACATTTCAACACTTGATTTACTTCTCTTTCTTTTACAGGAAGCCATTTGTGATAAAAAATATAAAATATTGGATTAAATCATTACATATTTCCTCTCACATATTTCTCTCTCACCCCACCCTTTTTAATCAAAATTTAAGTTGAAGTCTTGGCCTATTCACGCCAGGAATACCGTAGCTTTCTACAAGAGTGGTAAAAATTGATGGGAATCGGTAAAACGGTAAAAGTTTATGTACTTGAGTAAAAAAATAACAATCAAGAGTGGTTAAAATTGATGGGAATCGGTAAAA